CCATCCATCCACCCACCATGTCTGTTGACACTACAATTCACTCATTCATTTCTTTACCACTTCTGTTGCCTATATATATTCGACCAGCCACTGAACAGTTATTGAACGCCTCAGCACAGCTCAGCCCTGTGCTGGGGACAGAAGGGACCTTGCAACCAAACCCCGGAGTTCCTGGGAGGGGGGAAGGGGGCTCCTCACACTCCATGGGGAGACAGCGCCCTCTCCAGATGATGAGAAGCTCCTTGGGGGCTTCCAGAGACTGTCAGAGGCCCTGAGGGAAATCTGAAAGGGGCTCGACAGGAATGGGAAAGGCACTGGGAGCAGCCTGTGCAAGAGAGACAGAATGTGAGGCGGTAGGGTAGTCGCCAGAACCATATTGCAGGTGAGACCCAGTGTGGGGCTTAGTGGTGAGCAATGAGGCTGGAGGCAGAAGGCGGCAGCAGCCCAATGACCAGGACTTCGCTTTACTCCATGGGCACTAGGGAGCCACAGAAGGGCACTGAGCTGAGGAAGGCCCTGGTAACGTTCGTGGGTGAGAAAGAGCCTTCTGGGTATGAAGTCAAGGGGCGAGTCTAGAATCTGGAAGACCAGAGTCAAGGCTGATGCCAGAGGATGGATCAGGAGAGGAGGAGTTTGAACTGGAGAGCTGGAGAAAAAGGGGCTGGAGGGGGGGAGGGCAGGGGGGAGTGAAGGCAAAGGCCCAAGGTTAGGAGGCTAGCCAGGTCTGTAGCTGGGTAGATGACAGAGTGAGCCCTAAGATGGGGACTCTGGAGAGAAACAGGAATTGGGTTGAAGATGTCAAGTTCAATGTAGGACTTTCTGAGTGTGAGATGTCTCGGGGATATTCGGGGAGAGATCTTAAAGGCAACAAATAAACAGGTTTGGGGACACCTGCGATGGAGGTGGGGTTTGGGTGGCTTTGGCTGGACTGAGAGACACTGGATGGAGACCAGCAGTAGACGCGCTGGTGGGGCTGTTAGGGGAGCATTGAACTGCTAATGGAAAGGTGAGAGACTCAAATCCCCTGGCTGCTCTGCGGGAGAAAGACGAGACTATCTGTTCCCACAGTGATTTGCAGCCTCAGAAACCCCAAACAGTGTTATTATGCGTTAAATAGACTCAATGGCAATTAGTTTTTTGGTTTAATTGGTATTCAGCTGGGGGGGGGTGTATTATGGTACTGGTACACAGATTATTATAGGATCGATGACAATTTGGAATTAGGGGGTAAGAGTTGGAGGACCCAGTGAGATTGGGAGATGGTGACATATGGGGCTATTAGAGATTGGCGGGAAATTTGGAGGCCGTCTGAGGTAAGTCTAGGGGGGCCCCGGTGGTGTAGTGGTTAGGTGTTGGCCTGTGATCCGCGTGGTCTTCAGTTCGAACCCACCAGCAGCTCCGCGGGGGAAAGACTGGGCTTTCTACTCCCGTGCGCACAGTTACAGCCTCGGTCACCCACAGGGGTTCACTATGAGTCAGCATTGACTGAGGGCAAAGAGTCTGGGGTTAGTATTAGTCAATAGCGGATCAGATGAAATCCTTGGAGAATTGCGGAGATCCAAGCGGCCAGCACGGACGTCTGGGTCCTGGAGTGTAGAAGGAGTGGTTGGAGATAAGTGTTGTCGGGTGGGCTCGTTAAGATGTCAGTAGGACCACTGGCGGTCAGGCAGGTGGATGTTGAGAGTCTATGGAGAGATTGGCCACCCAGACTAGCTGGCACGTCACGCGGGGGCCTGGATACGTAGGAGGCCTCTTCTAGCTGGTCCCTCCGTTGCTAGGCAAACGTTCTCAGGGCGCCGTTGCTAGGGACTTGCATCTCCTCGGTGGCCACGCCCCTTTCACCGCAGGACCCGCCCCCGCAGCCAACCACCAGCCGATCGCCAGACGTAGGCCACGCCTCCCTCCTAGCCCCGCCCACAGCCCAGCACCGTTGCCCGAGCGACCGAAGGAGCTGGTCCCGCCTTCCGGCTCCGTTGCCAATCGCAGAGGCCTCGCCCGAGAGGCACCCCTCCGCCACTTCCGGCGCG